ACACACACACACTAAATATCAGTAGAAACATTTTTGTGAACACCAAAACTCAGCTTGCATCACGTTATTAATCTTGTCCCATAACTTTAAATACTGAACTCAGGAGCTCAGAAAGACAACACAGTAAAACTCTTATACATGTACGACCCACGGGCAGCAGCATCCACTCAGGCCTCTTACCTGCGACTCTACTTGATCTGTAGTCTTTGTACATTCTACAGGTGTAGCGTCGTCAGGTGTGACATCAGCTTCTCTGCTCTTGTAAGCGAATCTGTTTTGCAAAAGAAAACCAAGGTAAGAAAAGTCTGGTCAGCAGCCATTTGTTCCGTTCACAGAAGAGTTTTCTACACCACAACTCCGCAACCCGACTTACTCATTCTGTAGTCGTTCAAGGACACCAACTGAGAGGAGCTTTTAGGAGGGGTCTAAAATAAAAAGGGTTTTGTCTTGAATAGAAAGAGAAGACAAACAGAGGAGACTGTAATTCATCCGCTTCTCCAAAAGGCACGACCTCCCTGCTTTGTGGAGCAGAAGCTCATCCGAGCCGTAGAGGGCCTCTGAGGCATGGGAGTGTCCCATTGACTGCACTATTAACACTCAAACTGAGAGGATCAGCGTAGAGGAAATACAAAACGCTGTACAGAGAGTTCTGTAACGCATTTCATTCCACCAAGAGAGACCCCGAGGGTGCCGTGATGACCAGAGTAATTGGCTTTCTCCACTATGATAATCTGCATCAGTCATGCCATGCCAACACACTCTCAGGCCACTGAGAAGGTCACAGCGATCCCAAACCTCGCTCCACACTGCTGAGCATCTGAATTCTTATAGAAAGACATTTATACTGCATTCATGTTACATTCAGGTCAAGGACTTTCAGTTACAAGTTCACTTTCAAATGTATCACAGTGCACAATACTCACAAGACAACACCAGTATGTGTAATTCTGCGATACACTTCAAGAGAAACACTTCATATGGAGTGTGTCTTTGTGAGTTTTATTACCATTATCTATTTTCCTCTATGGGTTTTTCACTCTTCGGTGAGCATTAGTTAAGTGCCATTAACTAAAAGTCATAAATA